CCGTGGCCCACAGGAGCAGCCCCCAGCACCCAAGGGCTCGGCTGGGACAGGAGCAGAGGTGGCAGGGGGCTGTGGGGTAGGGAGGGAGTGCAAGGGGCTTCCTGGGCCATCCAGCTGGGTCCCTGTGCTACAGAGGATGCAATGCCCTTGGTCTGAGCCCCTCCTGCCCCGGGAGGTCCGTATGGTGGGCAGGGTACTTTATTCAGACCATGCCCCCCACACAAGGCCCTGCCCACCCCACAAGCCGCACCCCCACAACCCAAGCCATGCCCACGCCCCCAGCAGGCAGTGACCAGCACCCACGAGGACATCCTCATAGGGGGGAAGCCGCGGGCTGTGCACTCACTTCATGCAGCTGGCATGCTGCTGGCAGCGGGCGATGGGTGCCCGCACCACGCAGGGCGGGAAGGCCAACAGCAGGGACCCCGTGGCTTTGTCCAGCTCCATGCCCAGCAGCCGCCTCTCGTCTGCGTTGTCTCTGCCGCACCTGTGGGCACACCCAAGCCAAGCCTCAGTCTAGCCTGTGTCCTCAGGGATGGCCGGGCCTGGGGTGGAGAGGGCAGTGTGTTTTGGGCTTGGCTCCACGTGGGCATGGGCAGCAGGGGGACACCCGGCATCTCCCCTAGCAAAGAAGAGGCCTGAAGCTCTACTTGGCTCCCTCAGCAAGGTGCCAGGGCTGCCTGCTACTGAAGTGACACCCCCTAGGGCCAAGGCAGACTGGGCCCCGGTTGCTGGGGGGTGGGAGTTGCTGGGTCCCGGGGGAAGGGGGGCAGGGGGTGGGCTCACTGTGTGCTGCAGAGGGGCAGGCCTGTGGGCGTGCAGAGGCGGGGGCTGAAGTCAGACTGTGCTGAGGCTGAGGGGGTTGGGGAGGTGTGTTTGTGGGGGTGGTGGCACCAAGCAGGCCTGTGCACGTGGCTCACAGGGGTGCGGAGGGACAGGGCTGGGACCATCTAGGCTCCTGGGTACTAATGAAGTCCAGTTTCTACGCCAGTGACTGCGGCTGGGAGAGAGCCCTGTCCATGCATGCATGCATCCCTCCCTCCCAGCCCATCGCTGTGACGTCCCCCACGCTCAGCCTGGCATCCATGTGTCTCTGTGTTTTCACCCCCCACGTGTCCCCTAGCCCCTTCCAAGGAGATGTGGCCCCGTCAGGCTCTGGCCGGGGAGGCTGCTCAGTGCTGGCCCTACCTCCCGGGGGAGTAGGTCTCAAACTCTTCCAGCAGCAGGCTCTGGCTCTCGATGCCGGCGGCTGAGGGGCTGGCGCTGATGTTGGGCTTGATCAGGAACTTGAGGATGGTGCCAGTGTCGGAGCCCAGGAAGACCACGGTGTGATTGCCCCATGGCCCCGCCGCGCTGTCCACCACAATCCTGCGCAACTGGGACCTGCCACAGGGGAGATGGGGTGGGAGTGAGGGCTGAGCTCCACAGACCCCAACCCAGCCTGCCTCCCAAACAGCCTGGCCCAGACGAGAGGCTGCATGGTCTCAGAAATGCTTGGGGGATCCCAGGGGAGGGCAGGCTGGGGGCTCTGGGAGGGGCCGGGGGCTGTTAACGCACAAAGCCCTATGCAGGGGAGTAGCCCCAGATAGCATAGTCCTCCAATGCCGCTCGTCCTGAGGCTCTTGGCCCCACGTCAGATATAGTGACTGGACACATACATGCACGCATGGACAGGCACACACATGCACATACACACACATGCATTGTGTCACAAGCAACTGCGAGCATGCATGCAGAGTGCAAATACACCTCCAACGTGCCTCCCGGTGCAGGCCCCAGCAGGCATGTACCCTGCTGTACCCCCACCCTGGGGCGCCCGGGCATTCTGTGTGGGCGCACACGCGCAGCCAGATCCCTGGCTCTGCAGTCCACACCCCCACATGCAGCCAGGCAGCCCCAGTGCGCAGGTGG